ATAGCCTAACTGTAAATTCAGTCTTAGAGGAGAATGCCATTGAATGTGTAGCTAATATGAAGTGTGTTTTCATGAAAAAAATAAATAAAATCTAACTAAAATCAGAACTGAAAACAAACTCTGGATGAAAAAAACTCTCAATAAATGTCCAAACAGCGATTCTATCACATCAATTATTGTGTTATAGAGGGGTTTGACCAACCAGTTAGACAGACAGATTACTAGGTTATTTATTTGCACAAATCATCCAAGCACCCCAATCCCATTTCTAATACACTGTTGATTAATATGACTAAATATTAAATTGTAACGAAATTAAAGATCCATCTTTGATTGTCAAAAGAATTCCAGCTAATTAGATTTCACGTAGCATTTTAATCGGTCAGTCATGGAAGTCTGATTTGTTGATAACTTTTGACAACGTTTAATCCAGGTGCGAAAATAATTACTTTCTAGCGCAAGTGCTTGGAGAGATTTGCGAGTGCAAAGGACACAGTTTGAGCGCGCATACGGGCACTCTTTGAGCACGAGGAGAGATTCGCGATGGCAACGGACACATTTTAAGTGAGAGTGCGCGTCCGGTTTAGTGCGAGAGCAAAGGAAATCCGCGTGCGAGCGGAGAGATTCGCGCTCGCGCATCATAGCAATGTACTTTCGAGCTACAACAGTGCGCTCTCGACATTTGACAGTAAAATAACGCCATACTGACCCTGTTTGGTTCCCTGAACGAAGGAACTAGATGCTGCTTCACATGCTAGAGTACTGGAGCTGTGACATCAAAAGCCAGAACACTAATTCACTGACGGCTCCCTCAAGATTTTCCAATGGGTTTTTATAATGGGGTTTTTCAATTAATGAGTAAATTAAAGGTTTGTGGTAAACATAACTTGACGGTACTTTGATGTTTTTCTCTACAATGTGAATTACAAACACCCATACTGAAAACCTGAACATTTTGAAGCGGTTATTTTTATTTTAAAAAATTTATGTATGTCACTACATAAGAACATTTGGGGTATGAGTGTGTGCAGTTTCTTTTGTAGGACAGAACGTCAAAGTATCTACAAGTTATGTTAACCACCCACCTTATTTTACTCATGAATTGGAAAACCCCATTATAGAAACCCATAGGAAAATCTTGAGGGAACCAGTTGTGAATTAGTCTCCTTGGTTTTGAGATCACGGCTGCAGCACTCTAGGAACTGCACGCAGGAGTGACGACTTCTAAAGCCTGAATGCAATCATGCCAGTAGCGTAAACACACTTATATGAATAAATACAAATGCATAAATAAATAAATGCATAAATAAATAA